TTGTGTCATATATGTTGTTAAGTATTCTAAATATTATGTCTGTGCTTATCTATCTATCCACCCAACTATCCACCCACCCATTTATCCATGTCTATGTCTATTTATATATACATCCAGTATTCCATTTATCCACTCAGATGGCCAAACATCTATCCATTTGCCTATCTAATACTGCTACTTCTACTACCACTACAACCACCACCATCACCACTACCACCTCCACCATCACCACCACCACCACTACCATCATCACCATCACCATCACCATCACCACCACTACCATCAACATCACCACCACCACCATCACCATCAACATCACCACCACCATCACCTTCACCACCACCATCATCACCACCACCATCACTGCCACCACCAGCACCAGCACCATCAACACCACCATCACCATCATCACCACCATCACCACCATCAACATCACCACCACCACAACCATCACCATCACCACCATCATCACCACCACCACTACCATCAACATCACCACCACCATCATCACCGCCACCATCACCACCACCACTAGCTAAAATTTATGAGGAATTATGTGCCAGAGACTTTTTAAGTGCTTTTCTTTATTATATAATCTTCATAAAACCCCAATGGGATAGGTAGTATACTATTTTAATGAGAAAACTGAGGTGCAGAGAGTTAAGCAACTTGCTCAAAGTCACATACATCCATTTTAATTCCTTTCATAAGTCAATCATATATACTTTATCACTACTTTCTGCCATCAATTCATCACCTGTTTTTCCATATAGTCAACTGGCCATTCACCCATTGATCTATCCATTCATCTACCCATCCATTCGCTCATCCAAACATATGTAGATATGTTCTCCTATCCCTCCATTTATTCTTTATCCATCCATCCATCACCCATCATTCATCCACCTCTGCATCCATTCATCCCCTTACCTACCCATCTATCCATCCATCCACCCATCTACCTACTCATACTTTTCTCCATCATTGAGTCTCTTATTTTCCTTTTTTTCTTTCTTTTGTGACTAAGCCATGGTTCATAAGCTTGTGACCCAAGATAACAAGAGAGCAAACCCTTATGGCCCAGCAGACCGAGTGCCACCATAGAGCCTAAGCAGGGACTGGAAAAGCAAAATTTGTCCACTTGTTTAGACATTGTCATCACCCCACACACCCATACCCACTCCCACATACATGCTCACAGAGCGGTCACCCAGTGAAGGGACCACGGCAGTCAGGTCCCATGCGGGAGAGGAGAGTGGGTCAGGGCTGGTGGCCTCCGTGGCTCCTGGGGGACCCGGATAGAGAGGTGCTCTGACTTTCAGGGGAGACCGTCTGTCTCACGTGTGCCTCGGTCCAGCAAAGGGAGAGGGCAGGGTGGCAGGCGGCAGGGGGAGTGAGGCGCCGGGGTTCGGGTTAGAGCTGGGACCAGGAGGGGCTGAAGGCTTCTTTCTGGATTCTTCTGAATGAACTGGCTAGATCCCTCGGTCCCAAGTCCATTTTGTTTCTTTTCTTTTTGGTTAATCCTCATTCAAGGACATTTTCCCATTGATTTTTAGAGAGAGTGGAAAGGAGAGGGAGGGACAGAGAGAAACATCAATGTGAGAGAGACACATCGATTGGTTGCCTCCTGCTTGTGCCCGACCGGGGCTGGGGAACCTGCAACCAAGGTACATGCCCTTGACCGGAATCGAACCTGGGGCCCTTCAGTCCACAGGATGATGCTCTTTCCACTGAGCTACACCAGGTAGGGTGGCCCCTAATCTTTAAGACGCCCTTCGGAAGCCCTGGGCAGAGCATCCCTGATGCAGTGGGTGGGGCGGAGACAGGGAGGGGCGGGGCTTGGAGAGAGTCAGTGTCATTTCTGCTTTCTGGGCAGGTCCCTGGGGGCCTCCACGCTGTGCCCTAGTCCATGTGCACCCCCGAAGCGCCGCCCTCACCCCAGTGGCACTGTGTGGGGTTATCGAACACCTGCCAGGGCAGTCCAGACACTCCTGGGTCCCCCGAGGCTTTGCTGGGTCCTGGCATCCCAACCTGGAGCCCACAAGAGTCTGTAGGACAGCGGAGCCAGGGAGCGCCCTCCAAGCCAGGGCCCCGCCGGGCCTGTCCAGGGCCCGCTGCTGCCCAGCTGCCTAGACGGTGGTTCCGGCGAGGCCAGTGTTCCCACCTGTGAGATGGGAGGCCTGGATGTGCCTCCCTGGACTCCACAAGTGCCACCTCGGGTTGAAGAATTGGGGCAGACTGGCCTGGGGAGCGAGCTCACAGTCCAAGCGGCCAGGATCCCCACTGTGCAGATGGGGAAACTGAGGCCTCCGGTGGGGGCTTATTTGTCCAGAAAGTCCTGGCTCTGCTGCTAGCCTCTGATGCCAGTCCTGCCCCCAAGCTCTGCCCATCCTTCTCCTCCCGCTGGCACTTGGGACTCAGGGCCGGGAAAGCAGGGCCCCTGGGCTCGACCCCAGCCCTGCTGGCGGGGGCTCCAAGGGCTTCTACCCACTGCCACCCACGGGCCCACTGCTCTGGCTCCCCCGGAGGGAAACGAGGCAGAGGCAGGCCAGTGAGTTCGGAGGGCAAGACAGCACTGAGCCAGCCCTCATGCCACCCAGGTGGGGAGACGTCTGCCGGGCCTGGTCCCCAGACCCTCCGGGCACTGCCCGGGCCAGGGCTGTTGAACGAGGAGGCAGATGAGCCCCAAGAAAAGGTGGGTGCGGGGAAGGATTTTTCACTTGCTGAATCAGCAGGGGCGGGGCTGAGCCATCTCTCCCTCTCCCCACCCACGGAGGGAATGTGGAGGGTCCAGATGGAGGGTGGGGAAAGCCAAGACCTCCACAGCCCCGTAGGAGGCAGCACCCAGAGCCTGGGCTGAGCTCCACCTCCCACCCTGAGATGCCTCCAAGGCCCCAGGCCCCTGACCAGGGGGAGGAGCGAAGTGGACCACCTGGGGGTCCCCAGGCCTGACCCAGCTCAGACTGGGCACGAGCCCCTGCCCCCAGACCCTCGATTCTTCCAGCCCAGCGGCCCCTGCCAGGGCGATTCTGCCCAGCTCTCCCTCCTGCCTAGTGGCCCTGGCACTGCCCGTTGCTCCGGGCCCTGTGCCCCTGTTCCAGGTGGTGTCTGGCCCTACTGAAGGCAGCATGGGGGTTCACACCCCAGGGGCAGTCTGAGGGAGGAGGCCCTATCCTGAGCAGTCCTGGGGGGCAGCCCATGTACCCCATTGGAGGGCACAGCCTGCGTGGGGCCTGCATGCAGGGTGAGGTCCTGAGCCCCAGGCAGGTCTTGGTGGGCAGCGTGTGCAAGTTGGGGAGTGACCAGCAGACCCAGCCCATGGGGGCTCGGTGGGGCTTCCCAGGCTGCACACCCTCTCCTGGGCATGGGGACTCCCCCGCCCCTAGGAAAACCCCCAGGCACTAAGTCACCTTGTGAAAGGAGAACCCATCACACCCTGAGTCTCGGTTTCACTCTGAAAGGTCGGGGTTGCACACACACCACACGGAGCCGGGGGGCGGGGGCGCGGAGGGAGGAGGGAAGTGTCTGCGGTGCCACCCTCTCAGTGCGAGGGTCCGAGGGCCAGCTCTCCAGCCCAAGACCCCACAGGTGCAGCCTAAGCCCCTAGGACAGGCACCAGGACACCCCGGGTTCAGCCGCAGGCCCCCTGCTGTTGCCTGGGCCTGCCCTCCACCCTCCCTCAGCTTGAGTGACAGCTGGGAGGAGGGGCCAAGGATGGGCCAAGGAGGGAGGCAGGGGTGCCCTGCCAGGCAGCTTCAGCCGTGCCCTTCTATGGGCATGAGGTGCCCAAGGAGCACGGGGAGGCCAGGGTTTGGATGGCACTGACGTGAGGAGCCATTTCTGAGCAGGACACAGCTGTCCCCACTCACCAGCTGGGCGTCTGAATGCCCACCCTGAGCCAGACCCCCACCAGGGGCCGCTGCTCAGCCTCCCGCCCCACCCCACACTGGGCCGCAGACCCTGGACCAGCCCCTCCCTCACACACACACACACACACACACACAGGTACCTGCACATCCACACCTTTCTCGTGCTCACACCCATGCACACATGTCATTCCCCCCATTGTCAGTAAAGGCATCCGCACAGCGGCAGGTACTGCGGCCTCCAGCCTCCAAAGGAAGAGTGTGTGTGTGTGTGTGTGTGTGTGTGTGTGTGTGTGTGTGTGTGTGGCGGGGGGGGGGGGGAGTGTCACAACCCAGCAAGCCCGCCCTGAGGCTCCGGGCCCTGCCCTGCTGCCCTCTCCTCCCTCCTGCAGGTCTGGGCATTTCACTCCCTCCCTCTGAGCTGCGGTCCTGCTCCTTCCCTCCTGCTCAGCTGTTCAGCACCCCACTGGCCTCCTCCTGGGCTGGTCTCCACCCCCACAGGCCTCTGCATCCCCCTCAGACATCCCCTGCCCCTGGACGCCCCACTGTCCCCAAGCTTGCCCACTCCCATCTCTTCTGCGACATTCACCCTGGGCCATGGGACTCAACTGAGGTGCTCCCCCAACCACAGCCCTTCCCCCAGGGCTCTGCAAGCACAGCTGCTTCCAGGGGGGCTGAGGGCATTCTTGGCCCAGCCTGGGGGGGGGGGGCGGGGAGCCACGGCACGGGGCCCTTTTTGCCAGCAACCCACACACAGCCTCTGCCCGTGCCCCTCACATCTCACCCCAACCAACAGCCCTGCATCGGATCAGGGACCTGCGGCCTCCCCAGCCTCCATCACCCCAGCAAACTCTCTGCTGAGCCCCACACATGGGCTTGGAGGGTCCCCAGGTGAGCAACCCCTCTCCTCCAGACCTGGCCCAGCACCAGCCCTGCCGGCCCAGGCCTCAGTCGGCGTCCCTGCGCCTGGCGGTGGCCTTCCAGCTCTCCTGGTCCTGGCCCTGCTCTCGGCCTCTCCCAGGGAGGCCCAGCCGCCCAGGCAGGTCCCAGGAAGGTGCCCCAAGGGCCGTCGACCTCGGGATTGAGCGTTACCCCCATGGAAACACCACCGCACGGCCTCCTGTGGGCCCTTACCCTGCGCCTCCTTCGTCCACCAGGAGTTCCTCCTGCTCCTCGAAGCCGGGGTGGCCGGCCGCCTCCGCCATGGCCTGGTGCTCAGCGGGACGGGACCGCTATGTGTGCCGGGCTCTGGGCGCTTCCTGGGGCGGCGGCTGAGCCCCCCCGCCCCCCCCGGGTTTCACTTCCCCCTTCACTGCAGGTTGAGGTTTGGCTGGGGTTGGGTGTTGTTTTCAGTCTGTTGCTGCAACGGGAGGGACACACAAGCCACCAGGAAGCGTGAAGCAAGTCGTGGGGCCTGGGGGACAAGCCCAGGAAGGTGGGGGAGGGGTGCGGGGCTGGGGTACCCTTGTGTGCTCCAGAGTCCCAGGGTTGCCCAGGAGCCCCCACGCACTTCCAGCACCCCCTTCCCGGGCAGCCGTGGCCTCGAAGGGCCTGTGTGCATCCTGACTGTCCCCAGCGCCAGGGCGGGCGCAGTTCCGGTCCCTGAGCCACCACACGCAGCGTCTTACCACCCAGTGAAATCTGGGTGGGTCCAGTGGCGGAGCTCAGTGGCTGAGTGTCAACCTATGAACCAGGAGGTCATGGTTCGATTCCTGGTCGGGCCATATGCCTGTGTTGCAGGCTTGATCCCTAGTGTGGGGCGTGCAGGAGGCCGCCGGTCCATGATTCTCTCTCATCATTGATGTTTCTATCTCTCTCTCCCTCTCCCTTCCTCTCTGAAATCAATATGTATATACTAGTGGCCCAGTGCACGAAATTCGTGCAGGGTGGGGGGGGGGTGTCCCTCAGCCCGGCCTGCACCCTCTCCAATCTGGGACATCTGGGACCACTGGCTCCTAACCGCTCACCTGCCTACCTGATCACCCCTAACCACCCTGCCTGCTGGACTTCTCGCCCCCAACTGCCCCCCCACACCAGCCTGCTTGCCACCAACTGGCCCCCCTGCAGGCCTGCTCACCCCCAACTGCCCTCCTCTCCTGGCCTGATCACCCCTAACCGCCTCTGCCTCGGCCCCGGCACCTTGGCTTTGCCCAGAAGGACGTCCGGAAGGTCTCCTGGTCTAATTAGCTTATTCCCCTTTTATTAGTGTGTGTGTATATATACGAAAGAGACATCTTCTGGGTGTGTGCACAGAGCCAGGCCCACCTCCTCCCCAGGCTGGGCCATCGCTGGCACCCTTGACCTGCACACTGCGCCCCACGCTCTGCATGCCAGCTTGTCTTAGCCCTGCAGGTCTCCCTGTGGCTCCTCCATGGTCCCCTCTACTCCCCTGCCCTCACCCTCTGCTCCAGGAGCCCAGACTGACCAGGTGGACAGATAGTGTCCCAGGCGCTGGGCCGTGGGGGTCCCTCGGAGGCACAAGCAGGATTGAGGAGACCAGCGGAGCCTGTGTCCACCCTTTGCAGTCCTCCTCTGTGGGGAATGGCCAGACGAGGGGCTCCGAAATCCGAGCCCGGCAGCTGTGCCATGGCAGGGACGTCCCCCCCAAGACCAGGGCTGACCCCTGGGCCCATGAGCCAGGAAGAGGGGAGCCCTGGGCCATCTTGTCAAGCCCTGGCCGCCGTGGGCCTGAGGAGTCCACTGGATGGGACGTGGAGGAGCCTCGAGGCCAAAGGGGCAGGACCGAGGCCCAGGGTGGGGAAGGCAGTGGCGCTGGGGGTTCACCCACTATTAGCAACGTCAGCCTGGCCACATGGGGCGTCATCCTGCACCCAAACACAGAGGCTTGATCCCCAGGCAGGACACACACAGGAGGGAGCCCATTGATGTTTCCCTCTCAGCCCTCTTTCTCCTCTCTCTCTCTCTGTCCTGGGGTGAGGATTTACAAAAATAAATTTTAAAAAATGTTCAAGCCAGACACAGGGGAGTGAGACCAAGCCCAGTCCTCAGGCCCAGGGAGCGGCTCTGGCCAGGCCAGGCTGGAGTGCACCCTGTGGGCAGGCAGCCCCCGGGAGGCAGCAGGACCTGTGGTGCTTTTGGATGGGGACTCGGGACCCTGGTACGGGGTCGCGTCAGCCAGGGAAGGCGGACCAGCTGCTGTGACAAAACCCTCTGCCTGCAGCTCCGGTCTCCCTCCAGCAGCCATCAGGCCCGTGCAGTGGGGAGGGGGCTCTGCGGCCTTTCTGGGACCCCGGGTCCTCCTCCCCAAGGAGCCAGCGTCCCGGCTGGTCCTCTGTGTCCAGCGGGCAGGGCAGAGGGCTGAGGCCTGAGGGTGGCAGAGGCCCAGGGGCCAGGCCTAGACCCGGTGCCATCGGGACTCAGCCTCACGGCCTCACCTCGGGCAAACATCCATCCCTGCTTCTGCCTCCTCAGCGGCGTCTGGGCCTGGGCAGTGTCCAGGGCGATGGCAGGAGGAAGGACCTTGGTGGTTAGGAGATGGGGGCAGAGACAGGGAGGGGAGAGGCAGGGGGCTGGGGTGTGGTTGTCAAGGGGCCGGGTCTCCTAGGGGCAGCAAGCAGCCCAGCGAGAGGGAAAACTCATCTGGGAGGTCCGGTGTGTGCGGCGCCTGGGGCCCCGTCCGCTCCATAGATGATGATGGAGGCCCAGACACTCCAAGCCCTCGGGGCTAATGGACATGGTGGGAGGCTTCCTGGAGGAGGTGACGGTGGTGGGACCTGAAGGTGGGGCGGACGGGCTGCAGGAGAGCCCAGGCGACACTCCAGGCCTCGGCTATGGTGGGCATGGCGTGCCCATGAGGCAGGGATGAGCGCGCTCACGCCCAGGAGGTGCCAGCGGTCCCTCCTCGCCTGTCTGTCCCCTGAGGCAGGTGAGCTATCTCCACACCCATGTTATCGTAGGGGAAACTGAGGCCCGGCAGCCCATCGGGATGCCACGAGGAGGAGTGAGTGGGGGTCAGGGAGGAGGGATCCGGACAGCAGGGTGGCAGAGAGGCCATGGGGTGTCGGTCACGGGGCCCCCACAGAGCCGGTGCTGGGTCCAGAGGAAGCAGAGTGGGGCAGGTTGCTGTTCTGTTTGCTAAATCGAGAGTCTCCCACCACCTGAGCCCACAGGTGTGCCCGTCAGCCCCTTTCGCACGGAGCAGTTCTATCTCCTCCCCCGTGTCCTTGTCACCTGCTCTCACGGGTTGGTTTTCTTTATTTATTTTAATGTTTGTATTGATTTCAGAGAGGAAGGGCGAGGGGGAGAGATAGAAACATCAGTGATGACTGAGAGGCTTTGATCGGCTGCCTCCTGCACGCCCCCCGCAGGGGATCGAGCCCACAACCCGGGCCTGTGCCCGGACGGGAATCGAACCGGGACCTCCTGGTTCCTAGGTCGACGCTCAGCCCCTGAGCCGCGCCGGCCGGGCTCCCACACTTGTTTTTCTTACTTTCATTGTTTTGCTCACTTGTTTGCTTCCAGGCACCCGGACACTCGGGCCCCAGCCTCCCACCCAGACTCCTGCACCCGCTTCCCTCGCTGGGCCCTCCGGCCACCAATACCCGCTCCTTGAATTCAGAGTCTGCCCTGCCCGCCCTGGCCTCCTTGCAGGATGAGCCCCAAGTGCCCCTCAGCCCTGACATGTGCCCTGCTCCCTGGAGGGCTCCCGCACCTCGAGGCCTGGCTGCACCCACTGTGCAGGGACATGGCCATCATCCGTGCTTCCCGGCCCCAGGAGAGGGCAAGGGCTGTCCCCCGAGGCCTGGCAGCAGGCCGCAGGCCGGGCCCAGGGGTGATAAGCCGGCCGGAGCCCCAAGGTCACCTGGTGGCAGGGCCTGTGGGAGCTACTCAGAGGACACAGCGGACGGAGCCCGGGCCCTGCGGCGGGAGCGCAGCATGGTGAAGGCCGTCGGGCGCCGCTGACGTCAGTCTCCTGTCCCAGAGGCGGCCAAGGCTGGAGGCAGCAGCCTCCCCATCTCCGGCCCCGGGCAGATCAATCGCTGGGACCTCCGGAGGGCAAGGGCGGCCGACAGCCCCTCCATCACGGCCGGCTGGGCCCCCCGGGCTCCCCCGGAGATCTGAGCGGAGGGACCTTGGCGGGCGGCTGTCGCCCCATCTATCACAGGGGAGGCTGACAGCCATGGCCTTGCCCTGACAGCCCTCATCCGGCCGTCACGGACAGTCCCTTGATGTAGGAGGTGGGCCAGGGCCTGGGGCTGAGCAAGAGGGGCCCCGAGCCCTCCTGCTGGGCCGGCGTGGGGCCAGGTTGGCCTGTCCTTTGTCTCTGGGGGGAGCTGGGCTCCCGGCCCCTCTGAGCCTGAAACCCCTGGCATAAGCCATCTGGGGGCCATCGGACCCAGGGCTGCCCCACGGTGTCCCCGGGGGAGGCTGTGGGTCTGAGGAGGGGCAGCCTGGGAGGAACGGGGAGTGGCCCCCGGCCCGGACTTGTGGTGACGATTGAGACGGTCTCTGGGCGGACGGGCCCCCTTGTGATGGCTGTGCACCCCGACCACGGATCTCACCGTGAGAACTGCTCAGACATGCACCAGCCACCGGCCCCAGCGCTGGGGGTCAGCATCGCCCAGAGCCAGCCGGGAGCCCTGGGAACGGGCCATGAGCACAGCACCAGCCCTGGGTGTAGGCCGCCCAGCGGAGTCCACTCTCCGGGCCTTCCGGGTCTGGCCGGAAATTCCCGAAGCCCCTGATGGCTCCCCCATGCCCTCACCCCGGGCTCCCCTGGCACACGGCCGAGGGCACCCTCCCTGCCAGCTGCTGGGCCTTTCCAGGGCGCAGCACCCAGAGGCTCGGGCGGCCTGTGGGCGGTGAGGTTGCAACAAGGCCACGGAGACCAGTCACAGGGTTGGAGGCCTTTATTGACAGCTGCGATGGGCCCGCCCTCCCAGCGGCTCCGTGGGCCCATCCTCTGCCGCTCTGCCCGGAGCCGGGGCGCCCGCCAGTGCGAGGCGGGGTGCAGCGGGGAGCCTAGGACTCGGACTCGAACATCTTCTTCCGGCCCTCCATGCCGGACTTCTCCTCGATGTTCTTCCTCCAGTCCCCGACGTCGCGCAGGTCCCGCTCCTGGGGGTGGGGCCAGAGAGGACTCAGGCCGCCCGCTCTGTGGCTCGGCCTCAGTTTCCCCGCTGGGAATGGGCTCCCGGGACAGGGCGGGGTGGGCCCCGCAGGGACGGGAAGCCTACCTTCTCCGTGTCCTCCTTCTTGACCTGCTTCAGGTTGGCCCGCAGGTCCATGCACACCTTGTGCTTGGAGCCCAGCAGCGCCTTCAGCATGGCGTCGGCCGACATGCGCACCCTCCTCAGCGGCGGCCTCTTGAACTTGCCTCTGAGGTCGAAGAGCTTCTGGTTCATGTCCTCCAGCTGCAGGGGAGCGAGGGCCGGGTAGGAGCCGCAGGGCCAGGCCTCCCGCTGCGCCCGCCACCCCCCGGCGCCCCTCGCCCCTCGCCCTGCACCCGCTCACCTCCTTGCTGCTCTTCTGCACCTTCACCTCCATGTCATACTTCTCCTCCTCGGCCGCATCCACCTTGGCGTGCAGCTGCTTGCAGAGCTCCTGCAGCGGGCGGGGTGGGTGGGGGTGGGTGGGTGGCCATCCTGACGCCGGGCCCCGCCCTGCCCCCCACGCTTGCCTTCTTGATCTGTGGGGAAACCGAGGCGGGCAGTGGGTACCTGCAGCTCGGCCATGGAGCTGGGCATGTGCAGCGGGGGGCAGTGCTCCGACAGGTAGTTCTGCTTCTCTGTCTCCTTGCGGCTCTCCTCCTTCTCCAGCTCCGTGGCCGCGATCTGCAGCATGACGCTCTGGTGGGGCGAGGGGGAGGGCCAGTGAGGGGCTGCGAGCGGCTGCCCGGCTGGTGCGGACCCCCGCGGCCCTCCCCGGGGTGGCACCTACCTTGAGGTGCTGTCTGCGGGCCGTCATGGCCCTGTTGCGCTTCTGCAAGGCAGGGGAGAGGGGAGAGAGTCAGGGCTGGGCCCCCACACCCATCCACATCCCTCCCCACTGGCTGCCCGGCCAGGGGTCCTGCTCAGGGGACAGCTGGGCCTGGGGGCTCCCAATGCCGCCCAGGTAGTCCATCGGGGTGTGGAGACCAGGCTGGGCCTCAGGGGCAGGGGGCGGGGGCGCCTGCAGGGCCGGGCGTGGGGTGTAGTCATTTGAGAGAAGCAGCCATTTCCAGGGTGACCAGGCCGCAGGCCCACTTCCCCTGCCCCGTGAGGCAACGGCAGCCACTTCCTCTGTGTGTCACTGTCTGCGGGGAGTGGGGGTGGGGGGACTGTCTTCCTGGCCTTGAAACTCTGACCTCTGACCTATCCCAATTGGGGCGGGGGCTCCCATCCCTCCATGTCTCACCCTCGAGAGATACTCACCTCATCACTGTCCCAGGAGGGCGGGCGGGGTGGGGGGGAGAGAAGAGAGAGGTTAGGGACCTGTGATGGGGTAGGGGGGATGGAACAGCGTGGCCAGGGCGGGCAGAGACCCCTGCCTGGGGGCGGGAGGAGGGGGTGGCAGGGGCATTGGGACTGGGGACTTCACTTACTCCCCCATCTTGAAGTCCTGGGCTTAGAGCCTGTGGGAGAGAAAGATGGGGTATCAGGGCCTCGGACCCAAAGGGGAGCAGCACCTCACCTTCACCCAGCCCCCTGGTGCCCCACCTCCAACTCCAACCTCCTGGGGGAGTCGTCTTGGAATTCCCTGGGAGAGGAGTCAGAGGAGAAAGTGTTCCAGAAAAGTCCCTGGCGTGCGGGTGTGCAGCTGTCCCCGCGGGGGGACGGGGGGGGGGGGGGGGGCGGGGGGCGGGCGGGCCAGGGCAGGTGCTCCGCTATCTTTAGCTCTGCTCCTTCGGCTTTGGGCCCAAGTGCCTGCGGGAGGCTGCTCCCCAGTTCAGCCCGGGGTCCCTGACACTTAAAGCCCCTTCCTGTGTCCCAGAAACGAGGCCTGGTCCTCGAGGCCCGTCCAGGCCCCCCGCCCCGACCTCGCCCACCTCCCGCTGGATCTCCATCTCACTCCCAGCTCCAAGGAAGCCCCCCGGAGAGGGCTGCTGCTGGGGGTCCCCAGCACCCGGGCCCCCACCCAGGGCTGTCCCAGGGGCTGTCCCGAGCGGTGCCTGTGCTCGGCCCCAGCCGCCCGCGGCCTCACCTAGCGTCGGGCTGCGTGGGGAGCGAGGTCGGCTGGCAGTGTCGCCTGGGCTGGTGGGCCCGGGAGGGGTATAAATGTCCTCCCCCAGGCTGGGCCCCTGCTCAGAAAGGACATGGAGCCCTCCTCAGACCAATGGGGGCACAGGGCCCTCCCCACCTGCCCAGACCGCCTGGCCCGGCCCAGCCACATGCTGCCATCCAGTCCAAGAAGTCTTGGGAGGGGGGGGTGCCGAGGTTGGGTTGCTCTATTTAGGGATCAGTGACGAGTTCGAGAAGCTCCTGGTTCTTGCAAGGAGCCTGCAGGCAGCTGTGCGTGGCCTGGCTGGTCTGTGGGGGGAGCACGGCTCAAGGGTCAACTGAGGGGCCCCTGGACTCAGGCCCCCCTGGGTCCTACATCAGGATCCAAGGCACAGTGTTCCCCTGGCCCCCCCACCGCCTCTCCTGCAGCTCCCGGCTCCCCTTTCAGCCCAGGGGCATCGCTGCCACAAGCTGTCCGGGCCCCCCTTTCTCCAACCCGGCTCCGAAGCCGGGCCTGGACCCCAAACAGGCCTCTGGTCCTGCAGCAGCACCAGGGGTCTCAGGCGGGGACATGAACCCGCCTTCCCGCCCGGAGCAGGCACGGGGGCGCCCTGGACGTGCAGCCATGCAGGAACGCCCCACCCAGGGCTGTTCCCACACAACTCAGAACACTCCCTTCCAGAAGGGGTGGTGGGCCCCTGCCTGGAACGCTCCGACCCGCGGGCTGGGGCCCAGGCAGCCCCCACCCAGCTCAGGCATCCGAGGACCATGACTTGGCTGCCTCAGAGCTGGGGGTGCGGCCCCAGCTCGGGGCGTGGGGAGGGTCAGGCAGAGCTGAAGCCCCAGATGTGGGGGATTAGAGCTGCATTCTTTCCCGCCAGGCTGAGCCCCCAGAGACCCGCGAGGCTTCCGAAGGCTTCTACTGCCCCCTGCTGCTCGCTCAGGGCGGCCCTGCAGCCGCCGCCCCAAGGTTTGGGGGCCAGAGGAGCCTTGCGGGGCCCTGGGGTTGGGTCTCTTCCTTCCCGCAGCGCCCCCCAAATGCCTCCCGATTGCCCACCACGTCCTGTGGTGCCACCTCCAGCCCACCTCCCCTCACTCACACTGTCTCTAACGCTGCAACCCCAGACAGGAGGGCTCCTCGCTCCAGGGTTGTCCTCCTTGGGCGTGGAGGGACCCCCTCACGCCCCTTCACCCCCCTCATGCCCCTCACGCCCCTTCTGCCTTCAGGCAGAAGCCCCAGGGCCTGGATGAGTCTGGAGAGGGGACCTTCTCCTCCTGGCCCTTGGCAGGTGTCCCCACCCTACACTGTCCCCGAGGGCACAGGCAGGACACACGGTGGTGGGGGCGGGGAGACGTTCATCGCAGCAGGACCTGCGGGACCTGGACAGGCCCACAGCTCAGTGCGGGGGCTCACGGCACAGGGTGCTGTCAGGAGCCAGGCAAGGGCAGGCGCCGGTGGGGCTGCAGGCCCAGGGCCTGGTCCACCTCCCCGGCGGGCCGCAGGCGGTGCCACTGGGCGATGGGCCGCCGGGCATGGGCCAACATGTCCGCCCAGTGCTGCAGGGGCTGGCCGGAGGCCCGGGCTCCCAGCGCCACCTTACCCATGGGCTCGGCCCGAAGCCGCGGGCCCCGGGCCCAGATGGCCAGCACCAGGTCCACACTCTGGGCAGAGATAGGCAGAGGTGCGGTGGAGGGGAGAAAGACAGCGGTCAGTTTGGCCCCCAGGGAGGACCTGCCCCCTCCTCCAGGCAGCCTACCTGGATCTGGCTGAAGGGCACGAGGAAGGTGAGAGCCTCGTTGAAGCAGGGGCGGCCGTGCCCTCCGGGCAGACGCCCTGCTCATCTTCCACTTCCTCCGGTTCAGCATGAGCTGGACCTTCACGTAGGGCTCTGGGCAGAGGGAAAGGGGTCACGGGGGTCGCGGGTCTGACCACCGAGCCCTGTGCTCCCCCTGAGGGGACGAGGAGGGGGGCTCTCACCTGCCAGCTCCAGGCTCAGGCCCCGGGCCTCCAGCACGACCACCGTCAGCCGGCCCGAGCCGGGCACGTACTGCAGCGAGAAGCACAGCTCCCCCGTCTGCTCAGCCTGCGGGTACGACAGGGGCTCGGTCTCCCTGCTGGCACCTCAGGCAGGCCTGGGCCAATGCCAGGCAGTCAGCACCCTTACCTCGGCGGTGCCCGGGGGCCCAGCTGGCACCAGAGTTCCAGGAGGTGCTGCAGATCCACGGTGCCCAGCGGCAGGTGGAGCTCGCCCAGCGGCTCGTGCCTGGAGAAGCGCTTGAAGTCCAGCACCTGCACCCACAGGGTGGTCTGGGGCAGCTCCGCCAGCAGCACCTGCAGGCGGGGGTGTGAGCCGCGCCCCTGCCGCCCCGGCCCCGGCCCCACCCGCCCGCCCGCTCACCCGCTCGGCCCAGGCTCACGCGGAAGCAGCAGGTCTCGTCGAACATGGGGCAGAGCGAGCCGCGGTGCACCTTGGTCTCGTGTGTGTGCCCGGCCTGGATGGACAGGCTGATGCGGGCGTAGGGGTCCGCTGTGCCCCCCAGGCCCCTGGCCCTCAGGTCCACTGCCTGCTTGAGGCCCACCCGGATCTGGGAGCCAAGGGTGACTCAGCCAGGGTCCCCCTGGTCAGCCCCACACCGGGCCCCTCTCCGAGCCCACAGATCCTCTGGGCCTGCCATGCGGGGCCCTCACCTCCTGGCTTCCAAAGTCGTACTCCAGGGAGAGCTGCAGGCGCCCCCACTGCTGGGCTCCCCCCGGGCTGGACTCCACATCGTCCACCTCCGGTTGCACCTGGCGTGGACCAAGCCCCCATCAGAACCCTAACTGCCCACCCTGGGACCAGAAGGGCTCACCCTCAGCTCAACTGACCAGCCAGAACTGTGGTCCTGCCCCAGCCCATTGCTGGCACCACTGCCTCCCCAGAACATGCTGTGGCCCCACTGGTGCAGGGCCCACTCTGGGGGTGGCACTCCCAGTCCTTGGGCCCTGGGCCCTGGCCTCCCCCTTGCCTCTGCTCCCCGCCTCCCCTGCCAGGAAGGCCCTCTGGCCTCCTGTCCTGGGCAGATCCACTGCTGGGGGCTGAGCTCGTCCTGACCGCCCTGAGCCTAGACCTTCAGCTGTGGTCTGGGGCTGACCCAGCCGGGTGCTGGGCATGGGAGCGCTGGTGCCCGCTCCTCACCAGGTGGGTGGTGTTGGCGCCCTGGACACTGCCCAGGCCCATGGCCTCTTTGTCTCGGGGCTTCCTCCTGTGGGCTCGGCGACAGTAGCAGCAGACAACACAGAGGAGGCAGGAAGAAGTGAGGATGGCGGCAGCGACAGCGATGGCCACCAGTGCCCATCGGGGCCCTGGGGTGGGCACAGAGATGGGCCTGAAATGCCCCTGTGGACAGCACTGCCCCCCACCCAGCCCGGCCAGCCCCAGGTCCCTCCCGGGTCCCACAACTCACAGGGAATCCTGGCAACGAGGTCCGGAATGAGCCCGGATTCAGCCGTGGTGCCCATGGGGGCCGGGGCACTGTGGGGACCTGGGGGCTGCCCCATCTCCACACCCTGCTGGCTTGGAGGAGATGCCAGGGCGGCCGGGTCACCTGTGGGAATGGCCCCTCGGCCCCTGCCCACCGCCCCATCTGCCAGCAGCCAGCCTGGTGTGCCTGGGCAAGGAGGCAGCCCGGGGTGACCGGGGGGGACGGTTGAGTGGAGCCAAGGGGAGGGAGGCTCTGGGCTTTGGCCAAAGCACTGGCTTAGCTGCCACAGGCCTGGCCTCCTGGCCACCTCCCCCGCCCCCAGCCCTAGCCGAGCAGGCGGGGCCTCCCCGGGCCTCCCTACAGCCCCCTCTCATCGCAGACCCTCCTCCTGCAGGAACCCCTCGATCCCAAGGGGTTGTTGCCTGGGGACCCCCTTATCCCCCCCATTTCCCCAGTCTGCATGTTACACAGGAGGAGCTTATTCACACACGTGAACCGGCCCTGGGTCACCCGAGAGCATGGTGAAGGGGGCTCAATGGGGTCATGGGGGGAGCAGGAGGGGGAGCAGTGGGGCTGCTGCCGGTGGGAGCTGGTCTGAGCAAGCTTGGGCTGAAGGTGCGTTCCTGGCACGGCGGGCGCGGGGCCAAGGCACCTGGGAGGGTGTGGTGGGGCCGGCAGGCTCAGGGTGTGTCTGGGAGCGGCCCGAACATTCCTCGCAAACTGACTCAGCAGCTCGCCCGCCCAGACCTGCCTATCTGCCTCCCTTAGGCGAGGGGGTAGGAAGGAGGGCGGGCCAGCGCAGCCACCTGCCTAGGGCCTGGGGAGGGAGCGCACCTGGCCAGGCTGGCTCCTCCCACCCAGCATTCCAGCTGGGGGCCCTTTGCCCCGGTAGTGTGTGCCGTGACCCTAGGCCCCTCTCCTCTGGGAAGCCCTGGCAGCAAAGAGGCACCCTTCCTCCAACCTGGGGCTCTCCCCCTTTTTGCCCACAAGAGCCTGGCACCCCTCTTGCCACCCCCTCCAGAAATAACCAGGCCTGTGGGCCAGATCCCCTCCTGCTGCAGCCCCACCAGCCTGGCGCTGAGCTTGCTGAGGGACCGACAGGGGCCCACGTGCTCCTGCGAAGACCCCCACATACGCTCATCAATGCCTCGGTCCCCGATGGGCTGGGCAGAGGCAGCCCCACTCCCAGAGCCAACCCAAGCCCTGGACGCTGAGAGGGGAAGTGCCCAGGCCCAGTGTCCTGCCTCCCGGGCCTGGCTCTGTCACCCTCAGGGCTGGTCCCGGTGGTCACAGCACAAAGAAGGGACATGGAGGGGGCTCAGTGCGATGCCTGCCTTGAAATTCTAACCATCTTTGAACAAGAGGCTCCATGTTTTCCACACACACACCCCCTCCCCAAGGCAGAGTGCCCGGTGGCCCCTGTGGGCCTGGGGCGGCCCGAGAGCCGGAGGGTCCCTGGGGTCCCTGGAGCCGCCCGGTGGAGGCCACAGGCAGAGGCACCAGCTCCCCTGTGGAGTTTCAGTCTTTCCTTTATAAACTGTCAGATCCCATGTGGATTCTGGAGTCAAAATAGCTGCCTTCCAGGTTTTTACGGCGGAGAATTCGGCATCAGTGGTCAGCACACTGTGTGTGCACACATGCATGCGTGTGTGTGTGGGGGGGTCATGCATGCACGTGTGTGTGTGCATGTGCGTGCCTCTCCCCTGCCCTGTCTTGAGGGCGTCCTCACCGAGGTTAGGGCAGGGGCGGGGCAAGCACAGCACAGGATCTGGTGCTGCTGGCCCAGAGGGTTCCTGAGCTGATTCCTGCTGAAGGCTACCCCCTCAGGACCACAGGAGATGCCTGGGAGCTGGCCCGAGAAGATCATGGGGCCCTCGGGATCCTGGTCACAAGCCCAGAGGCGCCGGGAGGCCTGGGGAGCAGCAGGGTCCCTTAGGACCGCAGGGTCCGCCTGGTGGTAAAGGTTCAGGCGGGACCAGGGCCACCAGGTGGCGCCGTCTGCTCCTTGGGCCCGGCTTGCAGCCAAGGTCCTGCCTCTGGTCCTGGGGCTCCTCTGGGGGAAAGCGTGCAGGTGCCCCGGCCGGAGGCGACCCTCACAGGCCCGGTGAGGTCTACTGGGGTCGCCCCTTCCTCAGCCCTCCATGCTGGGCTGCCTCGGGGTGGGGTGGGGGGGATCCTCCCTTCTGGGAGGCAAGGAGGCCTCCGGCCACGATCTCGGTGGCCTGGCTGGGGAACCCTCGCTAGGGGCTCCCCCGGCTTTCCCGGAGAGGGAGGCTGGCATCTCCTCTCCGGTCTCCTTCCAGCCGCCTCTGGAGACTCCCTGAAGCCCCCGCAGACAGCGCCCTGCTCTCTCCTCCCGGACCCTGGCGGGGTGTCCGCACGCAGGCCCGTCGGCTCCTGCTGCCCCGTGCCGACCCCCCACCCCCACCCCAAGGGACCCTCAAGGGCTGCATGAGCTCCCCCTCCTGCAGGAAGCCCCCTCTGGTCACCTCTGCGCTTGGGCCTGCCCTGACATTGGTGCTGGATTCCTCCCCGGGTCCTCTCCTGGGCGCCCGGCAAAGGGCTGTGGGGTGCCCTCCCATGGACGCCCCAGTCAGCCTGGATCATACCTGTCAAAGCCACGCTAACTGTCCAGCTGGGACTCTCTGCTCTGATAGGAGTGTGTTCCTGCGGGCCTTCCTTGGGAAGAGCGGGGTTCCCCCGAATGTCGGAGTGGCAGCCCCCCAGGGGTAGTGAGCTCTCACCTGGCACCTGACTCTGGCCCGCCCAGCCTCCAGGCTGCCCCAAACCCGGGCACCACAGGCAGCGCTCAGAGGCTGCGGCTGGAGCCCTTGCTCTCCGCCTCCAGTGATAAGAGTCTTGGTGGGTGAGAGGGTGTGGAGGCCGGGCTTTGGGGAGCCCCACCTCAGGCCAGAGCTGCTGGCCCTCAGGAGCCAGAACTCCCTTGGGAGGAGGGCAACACCTGAGCCCCAGGACCAGGCATCTGGGCCCACCCCACCTCCAGGGGTCCCCGGGGCTGGGCACCTCCCGTCCTCCCATGGGACTTGCTGAGGGGCGACGGAGGGGGTCCTGAGCCAGGAGGACGTCAGTGTTGGAAGGACAATGGCTTTCTGGTGCCACTAGAACCCCGCACACAGAGCCTGGTGCCAGCAGGTGGGCTCCGGGCACTGCTTGCTGAGGCCGCCTGGGTGAGCGGGCAGGGCTGTGGGCGGCACCCTCCCCGGGCCACTTGCAGGGCCTCCTGGTGCCCAGGCTCCTGGAGCCCAGAGAAGCCTCCCGAGGCCTTTCGCACAGAAGCCTCCGCCCCTGGCTGGGCTGGCCGGGTCTCCAGGGGGCGTCGCTGGACCCAGCTCCACCTCGGGCTCTGGCCAGTTTCTCTGGTCCAGTCACTCTGGGTAAGGTCCCTCCCCGGGCCCAGCACCGGGCACCTCCCGGGCCAGGGTGTCTCTCAGCAGCCATTTCGGGCTGGTGGCCAGACGAGGGCTGGCTACTGTCTCACCGGGCCGGGGCGCTGCAGGCTGCCAGCCGGGCTGGGCGGGCAGCGCTCCCTCTGCCTGGGCTCTGAGGCTGCTCTGTGGCACCGCAGGTGGCATGTGCATGCCTGTGCCCATGCCAGTCACGAGAGGCTCAGGGGCACGGGGCATGGGGCACGTGGGTGTCCCTGCGCAGGGCCCGGCCGCCCTCCAAGTCCCGCCCCGTGATGCGGTTTGGAAGAAGCGCCTGACAGCAGAGGGGCCGGGAGTGGCTGGCACAGCTCTGGGTCCTCAGAGGCGGCCTGTGGGGCAGTGGGGCACGCCGGGAGCCGGCACCCTGCTCCGGGGAGGCGCGTGGGCGGGCACGATGCCAGTCCCCGTACGCAGGGCCCTAGAATGCGGCCGCATACGTGTGCCCCGCGTGAGCCAGCCGCCGCTCTGTACCGTTCCCAGGAAAGGGGCGCCCCCGTGGCGAGACGGCGGCTGAGGTTCCAGGGCAGGAAGGGAAAACCAAGCAGAGCTGGCGGCCTCGGGCCGGGGGCCCCCAGCGGGCAGCTTGGCAGCACCTCACAGAGACCCTGGCGGGCGGGGCTGCTGGACGGCTTCCTCTGGGTGGTCTAGGGGAGGTTTGAGGTTGGAATTCGGGGCCAACGCTGGCTCAGGGAGTTGGGAGCTGCTGGCAGGGAGCCATGAGACGTGCAGGGGCCGCACGCAGGCCCTGTCCACGCGGAGCCCGGCCACCAGCACCCAGGGCCGCGGAGGACGGGGGCTCCGCTTGCCACAGTCCTCGTGGGCTGAGGGCCCCGTGCCCATTTGCTAGGTCTCAGCCTGTGGGTGCCCGTCTTCCTTGATGACTAAGCCCCTTCACCTGGGGAGCCTGCACCCCACTATCTGAGCCTCTGGGGAGCCTGCACCCCACTATCTGAGCCTCTGGGGACCAGCACTCCACTATCTGAGCCTCTGGGGAGCCTGCACCCCACTATCTGAGCCTCTAGGGGGCCTGCACCCCACTATCTGAGCCTCTGGGGAGCCTGCACCCCACTATCTGAGCCTCTAGGGGGCATGCACCCCACTATCTGAGCCTCTAGGGCAGGGGTGGGCAAACTTTTTGACTCAAGGGCCACAATGGGTTCTTAAACTGGACCGGAGGGCCGAACAAAAGCATGGATGGAGTGTTTGTGTGAACTAATATAAATTCGAAGTAAACATCATTACATAAAAGGGTACGGTCTTTTTTTTTTTTTAGTTTTATTCATTTCAAACGGGCCGGATCTGGCCCGCGGGCCGTAGTTTGCCCACGGCTGCTCTAGGGGGCCTGCACCCCACCATCTGAGCCTCTGGGGAGCCCGCGCCCCTCTCTCTGATGTCAGCATCGAGGTGCTAGGCTCTGGGTTTCATGCACCATCTTTCCAGTCTGTGCTCTTGTGTCTGTGAGTCTGGATTTCTGGGGGATGTGAGTCCCACTCTTTGGAGTTTGGGGGTGAATTTTAACCAGTTCACCTGGAAATTGAGGGGGACATACCCCACCTCTGATGGCACTGCAGTATGTAACCCACTCCACAAATGCTGGTGCTCCAACCCCCATGTCATAGAAGTGAGGTTCCCTGTGGCCCAGGGACTGGGGTCCCTCCCAGGGCCTGCACCCCACCCTGTCACTGCATCTCCAGGGGCCTATGAGCCCCTCTGCAGCTCTGGGGGGTCTACCTCATCCAGGGCAGCCCAGCGTCCGAGCGGCTCCCCCACTCCTGTGAATGCCTGGGGATACGCCTGAACCCCCGAGTCCCCGTGCAGCCTTCTCCCGTCTGGGCACAGGGACGCTGCTCTGTGGTCACCAGGGCCCTGGACAGCTTGTCCCCACGCGCTGGCCGCAAGCTGCCTGAAGGCCCAACTGACACGTCTCGCTCGGCCCGTGTGCCAGGCCAGGCCGGTGGCCTCCGCCTGCGGTTTGGACGCCCCACTCCATCCGCCCCCTTTGCCTGTGTGGGTCCCATTCATCCCTGTGTCTAGCTCTGTGTGCTATTCATCTGTGTGCTGGGCGCCTGCCCTCCCGCCACCCAGGTGTCTGGGACGTCCCGCCCCCGTCTCCAGAGGGGCGTCCCCACCCAGACATGTCTTGGCCTGGACCCCATGAGTCAGAGTGTGGGGTCCTGTACCCCATAGGGTACGTGGGGTCCTGAAACCATTAGTGTGCGTGTGGGGTTCTGAACCCCGCTGTCGGAGTGTCAGAGTACCACACCCCACTCCGCTGAAGAGCTGAGTTGGGGTCCACAGCCAGGTGCTCCTGAGGCATCGAGCACTAACAGACTGAACCCCACTCCCTGCAGAACTGGGGTGACCTCTATGTCACCCGTCCTCTCAGACTTTCTGTAGCCAGGATGATGGGTGCTCTGTTAGACTGCAAAACTGGGGACCTGGTACCCCAATAGTACGGGCAATACAGCCCACACTCTGAGGGCCTGGGTGCCTGGCCCTGAGGGCCTGAGACACTCAGCATGGCACCGCTGGAAGCCACCGCCTGAACCCCGAGAGGGTCGGGTAGCCTGGTTCCCCTGAGCAGACGGGGCGGGTCCCTGTCACCCCGAAGTCCTGGGTGCAGAAGCAGGTCTGGGCCGCCCAGTCCGTCCCCCAGGTCCGAGGCAGCCCAGCCTCCTCGCGCCAGGCTCCCCCTCCAGCCCTTGGCTCCGGCCTCACTGGCCCTGTGCACAGGGCCTGGGGCTCCATGGGGGAAAGCGTGCCATGGTTTTCTGGGTGTCTGGGCAGCCTGTACCCCCTCCTCCGAACGCCAGCCTGACGGATACACAGCTCCCCAGTTCCCAGGGCCTCTGGGGGTGAAAGCCCTGCCGCCTGAGGTTCGGCACCCCCTACATCCGTGTTGCCCCACTTGCCTGCGCTGCTGGGGCCACACTCCTTTCCGGGTCCTGGGTCACCCACATGCCTGCCTCTCACGCCCGCCCACGTGAGCCGGGTCTCTGCTCACTCGTGACGGTGCCAGGCAGGCTACCCTCACCTCTCAAGCATCGGGCGAAGCCTCCATAGGCCCCGGAGCTTTGCTGCCTTCATGCAGGGGCCTCGTGACCCCACTCCTGACTATGTAGCGCTGACCCTGTACCCCAGGGCCCACGTCCAGGCAACACGCCTGTGACCACCACGTGCAGATGCTCCCCGAAACGACCGGGATCTGGACATGGCACCCCGTCCCTGAGGGCCTGAATCACACAGAAGTCTACGTTTTGGGGTGCTCTGTGCCCCACTCACCGGGGACATCAGCAGTGTGTCCCCTCAGCGCCTGCACCCACCCCTCACGGCGGCCCATGTCCAGGTCTGCGGCCCCCGCTGGCCAGTTCCAAGCCCGCCTTGTGCTTGGACACTCGGCGCCCATTCACGGGTGTCCGGCCTGTGTGAGCCCATTCATTCCCCCCTCCCCCGCGGCCACCGGCTCCTGCGTGACTCCGGGCAGGCTGCGGCCCGTCCGCCCCCACCTCCAAGACAGTCTGTGCTTTGTCGTCCCTGTTCCAGGAACAGCCGCCGCAGGCCAGCAGGCACATTCCAGGGTTTGGCCGAGCGCCAACGCAAACCCGTTTGCTGGCATAGCAGCGAGAGGGGGCAGGGCGGGAGGCCGTGGCGGGGAGAGGGGGACCCTCCGGGTGGGACATGCGATCAAAGCCTTCCCTACACGGAGCGTGTCCTGGACGGGCTGCCAGCGGGGAGGGAGCGGCTGCGTGCAAATTCCAGACCCTCCACCGCCGCCCCTCCACCCCTCCACCCCTCCACCGCCCAGGCAGCCCCTCCGCCCGCCCATGGCCTCCCGGCCGCAAGACTCGTCCCAGTCAGCTCGGCAGGGCCCAGGGCCAGGCCAGGGGTGGGGGGCAGAGGTGGGAGGTGGGTTTTCTACCTCGGGGACCACAGACAGACCCTGCTCCCCGCTGCCACCCTGGCCGACCACCTCCCCGCCTCGGCCCAGGGAGACGGCCCGGCTCCAACATGCTCTCTTCTGCCTGCACTGTCTCCCGCCTCTGCCAGGATGAGGTGGTGTGCCCCTGTGCCCCTTCCTGCCCGGGGTCCCTGGGGCACCGGGAATTCGTTGTCCCAGCTCCCCAAAGCTGCCCTGTGAGCCAGCACAAGGGCCCACGCTCTCGGACTCTCTGGGGGGGCTGGTGTGTAGCCTCTGGAGGGACTGTCCCTCTGATGGGATCTCCTCGGGCAGGTGTTCCCCACAGGTGAGAGGATCCCTGTCCCCCTCTCGTTCTCGTTGGCCCTGGAACTGCCCACCTCCTGGGCCCTGTGCTTCCTCCACACTCGGAGCTCAGGGCCTGGCACCAGCCTGACCCCCGCCGGCCGGCCCCTCCCTGGCCCCCAGGGGGTGCAGAACGCCCAGGAGCCCCTTCAAGCAGGCGTGAGGGCTGTGGGGCGGCGAGGCTCTCCTGCCCCTCGTGGGCTGGGTGGGCTGCGCTGAATCTGGCCTGAGGGACACTGGGCCCCGGCACCAGGCTGGACCATGGGCTGTGGGTGTGGACAGGCCCTGGAGGGGCTCTGGAGGCCACTTCCAGGACCAGCCATGCAGCAGACGGCCCGTCGGGGTCACTCTGGTGCTCGTGCTGCCAGGTGACACCTGTCCAGTGGGGACGGAGGGCACCCTGAGCCTACAGTGACGAGACAGCTCCCATGTGCAAGGACCCCAAGGGACCACGCGTGGCCCCTGAGCAAGCACTGGGGAGCTCACCACAGAGAACTAGGAACGAGCCGGGGCCACCCCAGTCCCCCTAAAGAGTCCCCAAAGCTCCGGAGAGGGTGTCCCGTTCCAGGCCTGCAGCTCTCCCCGCTCAGGGGCTCCCCCGGGCCCTGGCTGGGCCCCCCACTCTGCTGCTGGTGGTCTGCAGGTGACAGCTGAGCACCAGGGAGCCCAGGACCCAGCCTCTGACATGTCCCCTCAGTGGGCCTTTCTCACTCCTGGTGGCCACCCCCAGGGCAGCCAGGGGCCTGGGCCCCTCGACCAGCCCGTCAGCACGCCTCGGCCTCGGAGGCTGGCACAGCAGGGCCAGGGCTCAGGTGGCCAGGTGACCGAGCGGGAGGAAGACGAGATCAGCCAGGTTCCAAGCTCCCCCTGCTGTCCGCCGGCTGCTGCTGGAGGCGGCTGACCTGCTCCCACCGACCCGCTGCCTCCCTGCCCGCCCGCCCGGCTCCGCCCGCCCTGCCCAGCCCCGTGCAGCCCAGCGGGAGGCCCTGGCAGGCATGTGGGCGCCCCCTTCTGCCCATGGGCTTCTCCCTGGGCCCCTCCGCAGCCCCGACCTGGCCGCCTCCTCCTGGAGGACCCATCCCGGGAGCCCCAACTCCAGACCTTTCTGACCGAAGCCCCTCTCAGTGGAGTCACCACTCTGACCCCCTTCCTGGATTCGGGGCCCCTCCTGGCACCTGGTCAGCACAGCCCCCTCACTTGTCCAGGAGGGAGGGCGGGTCCTCGGGAAAAAGCTACAGCATCCTGACCTCACACCTGCCCCGACCCCACCCCAGAGGGTCACCTGAGTCCTGGTCGCAGGGCAGCAAAGGCCCCTGAGGGAGGCACAAGGACACTTCCCAGTGCCCGGCGCCCAGGACAGGCCGGGACAAGGGGGCCCAAGGGCCAGGAGCTCCCCGATGCCCTGGGGAAGCAGGGTGGGGCCGAGATGGAGAGAGAGGTGACAGGTGGGGCTGGGCACACCTGAGCTCCGGGCACCAGGGGACACTGCGTTTCCGTGGGTCTCAGCTGGGTGCGTGGAGACACGGGTCCCTTCGCCCCGTAGCCAGGCAGCACTGAGCAGGTTGGCTGAGCGTCCCTCCACATGCACCCTCCTCTGTCCCTGGGTCGTGGCAGCGCTACCTGCAGGGCTGCTGGGACGCAGGGGCTCCCGTGATGAGGGCACGGCGTCTCTTGTAAAGAACATTCCTGTCCTGCCCGGCCGGCGTGGCTCTCAGGTTGAGCATCAGCCCATGAACCAGGAGGTTTGATTCCCGGTCAGGCCACATGCCCGGGTGGTGGGCTCGATCCCTAATGTGGGGTGCGCAGGAGGCAGCCAATCGATGATTCTCTCATTTAAGTTTCTGTCTCCTCCGCTCCCTTCCTCCCTGAAATCCTATATAATAAAGGTCTAAATGCTAAGCGTCCGACCCTTCGTTCTACTGTTCTATCAGTCGCTATGACTCACACTGACCACCAGGGGGCAGACGCTCCAACCAGTAGGTTAGCTTGTTGCTGGGACCCGCGGATTGGGACGGGGAGACAGCCAGATCCGCCCTGGAGGCCTCCTGTGGTCCCTCCCGGCCTCTAAAATATTTCTTCTAATTAATTTCCGTTTAATGTGCATGAATCATCATTGAGGTTTCTGTCTCTCTCCCTCTCCCTTCCTCTCTGAAATCAATAAAAATATATTTTTAAAAAAGCAATGTCTCCAGGCATTGCCATCTGTCCTTGGGAGACAGAATCTCTCTCTCTCTCTCTCACACACACACACACACACGCACACACACACACGCACACACGCACGCACACGCACCCACACACGCACGCACACGCGCGCGCACACACACGCGCGCGCACACACGCACACGCACACACGCACACGCACACGCGTGCACACACACACGCACACACACACGCACGCCCAGACCGCTGTCCTGGAGCCGCTAGCTCACCTGGGCTTACAAATCGACAATTTCCCAAATCTGGCCTTTCCGCAGCATTTATTTCTAAGAATCCTCCCCAGCGCCCCACGGCACAAATCCGGAACAAGGGGAAATGCTGACTCAAACTCGTATGTATCTCACCAAGAACTTGTGAATTCAGACGTTTGTCCAAATATAGCTCCTATGTGTAGTCCTTTGCTACGGCCGTGCAGCACTGACCAGAGGCTGGAAGGCGTTTCTGGCGTCCAGCAGCGTTTGGTGTGACTCAGCCGGTCCTCTGCCTGCCACCCAGGCTGAGCTCAGGGGATTTGGGCCGGGTCCTCGTCGGGACGCCCCACCCCCCAGGGGTCCGGGCAGGGCGTTGGCAGAATTCATTTCCACACAGTTGCAGAGTCCTGGTCTGATGTCTTCAGAGAAGGGCCTGCCTGAAGGTCACCTCTACCAGGAAGCCCTCCTGGACTCACTCAACATCCACAGGTGAGGGGGCGGCACATCACCTTCATTTTTGCCGTCTCTTTTGTTTCCTTCTTTCTTTTTAAAATTTTTATTGATGTCAGAGAAGAAGGGAGAGGGAGAGAGATAAAGAAACATCAGTGATGAGAATCGGGGATCGGCTGTCTCCTGCACGCCCCCCACTGGGGATCGAGCCTGCAACCCAGGCCTGTGCCCTTGACTGGAATCGAACCGTGACCTCCTGGTTCCTAGGTCAACGCTCAACCCCTGAGCCGCGCCAGCCAGCTGCCCTCGTCTCTTAGTGAGAAGTGAGTCACAGGCGCCACCCACACCCAAGGGGAGGATGCGGGTTGGGTACCGGTGACTCTCGGGGGCACTTGAGGGTGCGTTCGCCACGGGGCGTGTCAGGCCGGCACAGCACGTATCCCAACCAGCGACCACCGGGGGCGTGAGCCAGGCCGCTGGCTCCAGAGCCTCGCTCGCACCCGTCCGCTGCCCTGCCCCTCACCATCAGCGGATTCTGTTCAAATCCCACGTTCTGTTGTTAGATCGTGGGTCTCTCTGAACGATTTCACGTGGGGTACGAGATAACTCATCTCCTCCCGGCTGTGAATTAATTTGACATTTTCCTCCTCACTCCCCTCCCGGGGAATGCCACCCGCACTCAGCCCGCCAGCTCTTCCGGCTCCGTTCCCAGGGAACTGATTTATTCCCATGGCTTTGAATGCCAGATATGCGGCCCCCACATCCTGACCGCCCCCACCCCGACCTGCTCTGCCCTCACAGGTGCCCCTCTGCCCTCAGATGTCCAGCTCTGCCAGGGGCAGCCCTGGCCCCTCCCTTTCCTCACAGCCACACCGAATCTGCCAGCAGACCGTATGGTAGGTTCTCACTCAAAGCACAAATGTGCCAGCCGACGTGGCTCAGAGGTTGAGCGCTGACCTAGGAACCAGGAGGTCCCGGTTCGATTCCTGGTCAGGGCACAGGCCCGGGTTGTGGGCTCCATCCCCAGTGTGAGGAGTGCAGGAGGCAGCTGATCCATGATGCTCTCTCATCCTTGATGTTTCTATCTCCCTTCCTCTCTGAAATCAATAAAAATATATTTATAAAAAACACACCAAAAAACAACCCTGCAAATGTGTCCAGAGTCTGCTGGCTCCCTCGACGAGCTGTCTACCCCTTGAGTCCCCCCAGGTGTCCAAGGAGAGGGGAGAGGGTCTCACCACTGGCCTCTGAGGCCGAGATCGGGGTCACGGGGCCCCCGGGAAGCCCGGGTCTGTGCTGCATGATGTCGCAGAGACAACAGGGTCTCCTGGCTCCTCTCCTAGGGCCGCCGCTGGGAGCCGCTACACAAGCCGTGCCGCTGCCGACTCACCCAGGCCCACGGCCGCCACACTCCTCTTCCCTTAGGCTGAGGTGCGGGGGTGGGGGCGGGGGGTGAGCCACGCAGGATGCATCGAGGTGGACGTGGGCCCCAGGCCCCGCTGGGATCCGTGCCTCCTGCTCCGAACACGTGCCGTCCACCTGCCCCGTCTCCTCCGTGAGAGCCCATCTCCTGCGCTCGCTCCCCGTAAATCTCCGAGGCCCGGAGGCAGAGCCAGGCAGATGCCGGGTCTTTGTTCTCAGAAGAGTTGTGGCCAGAACTTCAAAACGTCCTAAGGAAGTGAGAGCAGGAAGAGAAACATCTGGGAGACGGCTGCTTCCCCGACACCCCTCCATCCCGAAACCAGCGGGGAATGTGGGGAATAAAATACATCACGTGACATCAGGCAGCAGGGCAGGGGTCCCTGGGGCGGGGGATGGGGGGGTGCACCCATCTGCCTGGAGAGGGTTTCCAGGCGCAGATGGCGCCTGACAGTCGGCTGAGCTAAGCCGACCTCGGAGCCCACAGAGGTCACACGCTGGGGGTCACACCGTGGAGGTCACATGGTGGGTCCCGGGGCGGGCAGAGCCGTTGGGAGAGCCCCAGGCACCGTGAAGATCCCTCGCAAGTTTTCAGCTGCTAGGACGGGTGAATGCACGGGAAAGCCACCCTGAGATGGGGACAGACGCCTGACAGAGCCGAGGGAGCAAAACTCAGAGCTCCCAGCACTGGGAACGCTCAGCGCTCAACCCAACATGGGAACCTCGGAGCTCACAGGGCTGGGCAGAGTCCCCAGGACGGCCTGGCCTCCTCGGAGGGAAAGATCAGCTCCGGGAGAAGGCTGCGCCGCTTCTTAGCAAGGCTCCTCCACTGAGACGCGGGCAGCCCGGCCGGCGTGTGAACCCGGAGGTCAGGGTTCGATCCGGTCAGAGCACATGCTCGGGGGGTGGGCTCCATCCAAGGTGTGGGGTGTGCAGGAGGCAGCCGATCCATGACTCTCTCACCACTGATGTTTCTCTCGCTCTCGCTCTCCCTTCCTCTCTGAAATCAATAAAAATATATTAAAAAAAAAGAGACTGAAAAAAAGAGGTTCTTGGTCACTGAGACGGAGGAGCCCTGGAGGGGCCCTGGAGCAACCGCACCAACCGCACCCGGAAAACACACCTCACACTCGGCTCCGGCCACAGGAATCCCCTGGGAGAGCAGCCTGAGCGCCAGGCGAGGGGGCAGCCCGCCGCTCCCCGCATTTCAGCCTCAGCCAAGAACTGCGGATGCAAAAGGGGCCACAGGCTGCACCCCAACAGGCTCCGGGGAGGCCCCCCACCTCAGAGACCGAAGGAACCACACAGGAGGGCGTGAATGTAAACACGCCAGGGCAGGAAGTCCCCCGCGGCCTGCAGTCTCCTCCACACGAGCCAACCTCTACCTTAAGAGAGTCCCCTCCTGTCCTGTGCCTCGACGGTGACCTGCCTGCCTTTGAGATGTCGGCGACCCCTCCAGAGCCGGAGCCCGCAGGCCCCTTGGTCGGGGCAGACACAGGACACCAGGGACCAGCTATAGTTCTAAGACACGAATCCTGCTCTGTTCGCTGCAATGGCTTTGTTCTGATTAAAGAAGGCGCATTCTAACCCGGTGGGAGCTGTGCACCCGGGGACCTGGGAGTCAGCCTCAGAATGTGGACCCTCTCTTCCTGCCCAGTGTCCTGGGCAGGTTAACCCCTTGTTGCCCACACGATGGAGCCCGCCCACATGGCCTGTGACCTGGAACCATCACACCCATTCTTACTCCCTTTGCCGGCTGCCCCAGGAGTCCTCGCCCGGCCCCATGTAAGCAGCTGGCTTGCGGTGGGCGCAGGGCAGCGGTTTGTGGATGGCCTGCTGCCGGCAGGATTGGAACGCACGCTCATGGATGAGCTCCTAACTGGCCTCAGGTAGTGACAGCGCCCGGACCCCCTGCTGGTGTGGTTTCACCCCCTGTTGGTGTCTTGCTCCCTGCACACCTTCCCCAGGTGCAGGAAATGTTAGTAACTCCCCACCCCCGGAAAAGAAGTGCTTCTCAGGTTTGCTCGTTTTTGTTAAGGCTCACTGAGGATATTCTTCCGTTGATTTTTAGAGAGAGTGGAAGAGAGAGGGACAGAGAGAAACGTCGATGTGAGAGAAACACATCAATTGGTTGCCTCCTGCAAGCGCCCCTACCAGGCCCCAGGCCGGGGAGGAGCCTGCAACCGAGGTACTAGGTGTACTGGTTAATAATGCGAATTTTTTTCAATAGATGGAGTTACACATGTGATGATATATATGCGATTTGATATGCATGCTATTTTGTTGTATTGACAACAAGCTTCAAAACTTCATGTCAAATTTTCTGAAGGTGTTACCATCAGATATTTTTATGCTTAAAAATGTCAAATTTCCAAATGCCAAAAAAAGAGCACTTGCGGGAAGTTTTGATTCATTCCTTTATTTTGAAGAAAAGTGCTGCTGAAAGAGATCGTATACTTCAGGAAGCTTATGGTGAACATACTCCATCTCAAGATACCTGTGAACGCTGGTTTAAACGCTTTAAAGGTGGTGATTTCGATGTGAAAGACCAAGAACATCCAGGTCAACCAAGAAAGTTTGAAGGCCAACAATGACAAGCATTACTGGATGAAGATGCATGTCAAACTCAGAAACAACTCGCAGAAAGATTAAACGTTGCTCAGCAAACAATTTCCAAATGTTTACAAGCAATGGGAACGATTTTAAAGGAAGAAAAATGGGTGCCACATCAACTGGACAAAAGACAAATGCTCTTTTTTTGACATTTAGAAATCCGACATTTTTAAGTGTCAAAATATCTATGATGTTAACACCTTCAGAAAATTTGACATATGAGGTTTTGAAGCTTGTTGTCAATACAACAAAATAGCACATATATCAAATCGCATATACATCAACATATATGTAACTCCATCTATTGAAAAAAATCCGCATTAACCGGTTCACCTAGCATGTGCCCTTGACCAGAATCGAACCCGGGATCATTCAGCCCACAGGCCGACACTCTATCCACTGAGCCAAACCGGCCAGGGCTCTCAGGTTTACTCGTGATCCAGCCCAGAGCTGTCCCCGCTGGGCTTTCTCCGCCCCCTTAACCTACCACCACGATTGCATGTGACCCCCCTCGCGCCTCGGCTTTCATCCTAACTGCACCATAAACTGCCGTTTTCCGGGGCGTTTCTCAAGCCGCAGTTTGGTCGTCAGTTTGGCTCTAGTGAACACACCGAAATCCTGCAGCTTTGGGTGTTTCTTACCTCGACAGGGGGGGCCTCGCCCTCTGGGTCTGCCCAGAGCTGGTGAGAACGAACGCGGCTGTTGGGCGCTTACATTCGAGCAGGAGGAAGTTCTCAAACCAATTGCCTCGATTCCCACCCTAGGAAATCGGAAAAGAGAAACACAAATCAAATCTACAGTGAGAGGAAGGAAGGAAGGAAGGAAGGACGGACGGAGGGGGGGGATGATGTAGGAGTAGAAACCTATGAGGTAGAAGACAGAAAACCAATGAAACTAGTCAGATTTATTCAGAAAGAAACGAGAGAAGATACAAATCATCGACATCAGGAATGAGGCAGGAGTGATCACTGCAGATCCTACAAAAAATGAATAAGAGAAGTCAGCCCAGCCGGGTGGCTCGGGGGTTGACTATGAACCAGGAGGTCACGGTTCAATTCCCGGTCAGGGCACAAGCCCGGGTTGCAGGCTCCATCCCCAGTGTGGGGCGCGCAGAAGGCAGCTGATCGATGGTTCTCTTTCATCACTGAAATTTCTACCACCCTCTCTGAAATCAATAAAAATATATATATTTTTTGATAAATGAAGGTTTACAGGCCCAAGCGGGGCCTACAGATTGAGAAGCTAAGAGGACTGTTGAAGGGAGATCACCTCCCCTTGGGGAAGGCAGGGGTCTTATCGGCCAAGGACCAGACTGGTGGGCCCCGCCCGCCCCTCTCCCTGCCCCTCTGAGTCACTGCTCCAAAGAGGGGGGCGTCAGAGCCCCCAACCCGTCTATCCAGCTGCCCGGGAGGGGCTGGGTGCCACGGGGGAGCTGGCACTGACGGCCAGCCACGGGCCCGCCCCTGGGAACAGGCCCGCGTGGCCGTGGGCGGAGGGTGGGGAGACTGATAAGGTCAGTTCCGGGAGCCGAGGCAGAGCAGGTTCTCCCGGGAGTGGAGGCCTCCCCTGGGCTCACGGGCACACCTCTGCACCCCCTCCGAGAGGTCGGGACAGGGTCGCCGGGCCCTGCCCTCTGGGGGCCGGCGATGTGGGCACCCCCTCCCTGTGGCTCTGCAAGGACATCTCTGGGTCGAGGCAGGGCACAGAGGCGAAATGGCCAGGCCCGTGCTGTGTGGAGCGAGGTCAGCTGTGGCCGCAGCGGGTGAGGTGAGTGCAGAGGTGTGGGTGGTGCCCTCTCCCAGGGGCCTCCAGCTGCCAAGGCACAAGCCGTGCCTTTGTTCTGTGGACACTTGCAGGGCCCGGGAGCACTTAGGCAAGGCCACCGCATTGCTCAATCCCCGCACTCACCGAGCCTGCTCGCTCGCAAAACAGGCCACCAGCGACCGGCCGGGTGAGTCCGCAGAGCACTCCGAGCCCACAGGCTGCCTGGCCCGGCAACTCACCCATCCCCGGGGCCCAGCTCACTCAACCAGCCCCACGGCCTCCCCTCCCACAGCCCTGCGAGCCTCCCCAAGTCCGGCACCCACCCATCCTACCCCAGCCCCTCCGCATAGCCCCCGGGTGTCCCCCTCGGATGCTGGGCTCCGGATGCCTGCCCCTCCCCCGCCTCTCACCCTGCCCACCTGCCCTGGCCTTTGTGCAGGTTCCAGGCCAGGCTCTGGCAGCTGACTCCATCCCTCTCCCTCCTTTGGCCTGTCCTGAATTTGCCCAGATGTACTATGTCCTTGGGGACAGCTCTCTCTGCGGTCCAGCCACCGGCACCGCCCACGCTCTGGGCCCCCAACCGAAGTCCTGTCCTCTCCCTAATGTTCTCTGTGTCGAGAACATTACGTTCCGACCCCCAGGCCTGTGCCCATGTGACCTCACAGGGCAAAGGGGGTTTTGCAGATCCGGCTGTGGACCCTGAGAGGCAGGAGGACCCTGGGTGACCCGGTGGGTCCCCTGGAATCACAGGGGTCCCTGGGAAAAGGAGGCAGGTGGGGGGTTGGGGGGGGGGAGTCAGAGAGGCACGGCAGGGCCATGCGCCCAGGACGCAGCACCCCCAGGAGCTGGAAAGGCAGGAGGTGGGGTCTGCCCTGGAGCCTCCGGAAGGACCGGCCAGCAGCACCTTGGTTCCGGCTGGGCGGCCGATAGCGGACGTGTGGCCTCCAGACCACAGGAGGATGACGCCGTGTTGTTTTAGCCACTCCACCTGCGGTCCTTCGTCATGGCAGCCACAGGGCTCTGGCAGGCAGTGCTGTTTGCCCAGTGACTCACTCCTCTTCCTCACCTCCCCGTGCCCACCACTTCCTAGGATGTCGTCACTCCCTCGGTCCCATTCTTCAGGATGATCCAAGTTCAGGTCCATCCCCTTCCACGTGTCACACTGAGGAGACGGACTGCTCGGGGTTGGGGCCCCGTCCTCCTTTCTGTCCATGTCCCTGCGGTAACTGGGCCCTCACCCAGGGCCTGCACACCAACCTCAGCCACCTCCACCCCCAGAGGCCTTCTCCCAGCACTACTCCCTGAGTACCCCGAACAGTCACCAACACCCCTCTGTTTGGCCACCACCTGCCTGGCTCACAACCCCCACAGCACCTCTCAGGGAAGCCTTTCCTGTATCTGCCTGTATCGGTTAGGATTCTCCAGAGAGACAGCATGCTTATCTGTCCATTCATCCTTCCATCATCCACCCATCCATCTACCCATCATCCATCCCTCTTTCCATCCATCCATCATCCATCATCCATCCATCCATCTGTCCGTCCGTCCATCCATCCATCCATCCATCCATCCCTTTCTATCCATCATCCATCCATCTACACATCATCCATCCATCCATCCATTCGTCATCCATCACTCTTTCCATCCATTCATCCATCATCCATCCATCTATGCATCCACCCACCCACCCATCCATCCATCAATGCATCCACCCATCTATCCATCCATCCATCCATCTATCCATCATCTATCCCTCTTTCTATCCATCATCCATCCATCCATCCATCCATCCACCCATCCATCCACCCATCCACCCATCCATCCATCCATCTATCCATCATCTATCCCTCTTTCTATCCATCATCCATCCATCCATCCATCCATCCACCCATCCATCCACCCATCCACCCATCCATCCATCCATCCATCCATCTATCCATCATCTATCCCTCTTTCTATCCATCATCCATCCATCCATCCATCCACCCATCCATCCACCCATCCACCCATCCATCCATCCATCCATCCATCTATCCATCATCTATCCCTCTTTCTATCCATCATCCATCCATCCATCCATCCATCCACCCATCCATCCACCCATCCACCCATCCATCCATCCATCCATCCATCTATCCATCATCTATCCCTCTTTCTATCCATCATCCATCCACCCATCCATCCACCCACCCATCCATCCATCCATCCATCCATCCATCCATCTATCCATCATCTATCCCTCTTTCTATCCATCATCCACCCATCCATCCATCCATCCATCCATCCATCCATCCATCCATCCATCCATCCATCCATCATCCATCCCTCTTTCTATCCATCATCCATCCATCCACCCATCCATCCATCCATCCATCCATCCATCCATCATCTATCCCTCTTTCTATCCATCATCCATCCATCCATACATACATACATCTTCCATCCATCCTTCCACCATCTCTCCATCCACCAACCCACCACCTATACACCTTCTATCCATCTATCTTTCCTTTCATCTATCCATCCATCTGTCCATCCATCCATCCATCCATCCATCATCCATCATCTAGAGAGATAATTTGAAGGGATTGGCTCACGTGACTGTGGGTCCTGCTGGCTGGAGCCCCAGGAAGCTGAGGTTGCAGCTCCAGTCAGAAGGCCTCTGGAGGTAGACTTCCTTCGCCCTCGCGGATCTCAGTCTTTTCTCAAGGCTGCAGCTGACTGGCTGAGGCCCACCACGCGATGGAGGGCGATCTGCTTCAGTCCAAGCCTGCTGACTGGAACTGTCAATCACATGTGAAGGTCACCTTCACAGAAACACCCAGAACATTTGACCAAGTAGATGGGCACCACGACCGGCCGAGTTAACGTCCCGTGGCTGCCCCATCCTCTCCTCATCTGCACTCACCTCGGCACCTCTGTCCTCTGCCACTCAGAGCAGGGCAGCCTCTGTGCTCGCACCCCCGAGCCTGTCGCCAAGTAGCAGGAAATGCAGGACATAGGCCCCAAGCGCAGGGGCCGGGCTGCACCTCGAGAGCTCTGTGCAACTCATCCAACCTCAAACCCAACACCACAATGTGCCCCGAGCCCCAACACCCCCCACGCTTCAGGCCTCGTGGGGCCCCTAAGAGAGGTTCCCTGCATGCCCGGTTTGTCTCCCCAGTGAATTGGGGTAGAGGCAGCTAAGCCCTCCTGGGCCCCCCACAGCCTGGCCAAGTGTACATCTGCCTCAGGCATTCCTGGGGTTCCCCATGTGGCTGCCAGACCCCCGAACCACTTCCCAAGGGCAGCCATGATGGAGGAAGGCCATGGCTCTGAGCTCAGTCCTTGGCCCTGGGGTGCCTACTCCAGAGGGCTTGTGGGCCACTAGGACCCTGGTCTCCTTTTCATCAGCATCTAGACCAGGGGCGGGCAAACTTTTTGACTCGAGGGCCACAATGGGTTCTTACACTGGACCGGAGGGCCGGAACAAAAGCATGGATGGAGTGTCTGTGTGAACTAATATAAATTCAAAGTAAACATCATTACATAAAAGGGTACGGTCTTTTTTTTTTTTTTTTTTAGTTTTATTCATTTCAAACGGGCGGATCCGGCCCGCGGGCCGTAGTTTGCCCACGGCTGGCCTAGACTGAGCCCTGAGATATGGTTCTGTTCTCAAAGCCTCTGAGCTTTGTCTCTATCTCAGCACGATCCACCAGTGTGTGCGTGTGCGTGTGCGTGTGCGTGTGCGTGTGCGTGTGCCTGTGTGTATGTGTGGGGGGTAGTGAGGGGGTGGTGACTTCACAGCTCAGCAGGTCCACCCACCGGCTGAAGAAAGCAAATGTCCCTGCAGCACCTGGGCTCCTCTCGATGCCCCAAAAGCGCCAGGCCCGCCGCAGCTCCCTGCGGGTCGGGAGTCGGCCCCGCACTGGGCACAGGACTGGGACGGTGGTGGCTGGGGCTCGGGGGAGAAGCCAAGGCCCAGTGGAGAGGACACGCGGACTGGGCTCCAGCCCTCGTGGGCCCCGGACGCTGTGCCTCCCTGCCGTGCCGAGAGCTGCACTGAGGTGTAGGGGCAGCAGCCCGGGTGGGAAGCCCTGAGTGACAGCGGGGAGGGGGTGGCTGACCCTTGTGGGGAGAACCGAAGGGCACGAGGCCAAGCCAGGTCTTGTCCGGCAGGGCACCCAGAATGCCCCCTCCTGGACAGCTGAGCCTGACATTCCCCCTGCTCCACCCCCTGTGCCCGTCACCCTCCCCCTGCCCTAACAGTGCCAGCCACTCTCAGCCCACCCTCCCCCACCAACTCAGGCCCCGTCCAAGGCAGCTGACCCGAAGCTAATTCCCTCAATGGCCTCCTCCACAGCAGAACTAATGTTCTGGGCCTGTGGCTGGGGCCCCAGGGAGCTGCACCCCCACTTCCTCCTGGCTCCGAGGGCTTAAGTGGGGTGACTCAAGCCCAATTGGAGGGCAGGGCGGGGAGGGCAGCCCAGCAGTCATGACTCAGCTTCTTAGCCGTTCCCCCACCCACCTCCTGGGAGGACCTGTCACGACGACTTCCCACCGGCACCCAGAGCAGCCCTGGCCCAGGCCGCCCTGCAGCCCAGCCCCCTGTGCACCCACAAACCTTTCCTCTCCTCGGGGCACCAGGAAACCAGGAAACCACAGGCTCAGAGCTGCAGCTGAGGGCGTGGCCAGCACACTCTCCTCCCGGGCTGCTGGGAGTCTCGGGGCCTCTGGGTGACACCAGGCCCAGGGCAGGGGCCCAGGGCAGAGAAGAGACTGCCACCACTTAGGACCCCTTCCCTCCTCCCTGAGGGACAGAGGCGAGAGAAGGGCCAGCAGCTGCAGCCCCAGCTCCGCGTCCACCGTGTGTGCTGGGGTTTGGTCCTTCTCAAAGCCTGTCGCCTCCAGTTGTGTGACTCTGATGAATGATTAACGAATGATTAACCTCGCTACCGTGCTGGGGGCGAAGCTCCGGGCGCCTTCCGTCTGGGGCTATGGTCAGCGCTGCTGCGTGCACATCCTCATACCTGCCCCGGTGATGGGGACACTGCGCTGGGGGTGTCTGTCCCTCGAAGAGGTGCCGCCGGCCGGGGCAGCTCGGGACCAGCTTTCGCGGACGGGACACACGGCTCCCAAAGTGCCTGTGCCAATTCGCCGTCCAGCCGGCCGCTCGCTCCGTCCCGACCACGCGGCTTCCCAGCGTCTCCAGCAGCGTCCTGGCGGGTGTGCCGGGCGAGCAGCTCCCGTCTGCCCCTCCTGAGGACGAACGCAGACACCACCTCCACACGCTGCCGGGCACCTGGCTTCCGCTGCCCGTTGCTTTTTTGCTTTTTTCTTTTTCTATCGGGTTGTCTATCTGTTATCAGCCTGTGGTTCTTTACTTTACACACTGTTGCTGGTCGGATACCTGATGCGTGCCCTCCACCCCGTAGCTCGCCTTTCGCTCTCCTATCTCGCTGTTTTCTGAGGGACAGGAGCCAGTCGTGTCAGCACAGTCCGGCTCCTCATTTCCCCTGGAAGAGGTGGGTGCTGCTTTCCGACGGCAGACTTCATAGTTTACACGTGCAGAGAAGCTGGCGGACAGCACGGTCCCCTGAACCCACCCGCACACACGCAGGGTCTCCTGCTATTAGCATCTCCTGACTGTGGGCCATTTGTTACAACCGACGAGCCAGTGTCCACATCGTTACCAACCAAAGTGCAGGTTTCCCGAAGTTCTTTCTTCAGGTGCATCTTGTGGGTTTCGGGGAATCTCTAACACCACGTGTCCCTCATTCTAGCCGCACTCAGAGCTGTCTCACTGCCCCAGAAATGCTCTGTGCGCCACCTGCCCCCTGCCCCCCCGCACCACAACCAGCGCTGTCACGTCCCCACACCTGCCGTTTCCGGAGTCACAGGTGGAACCACACACTAGGTAGCCTTTGCAGCACTTTCTTTCGCGTTTGAAGATGCATCTCTGTTTCCTCCGGTCCTTTCGGGACCTCAGAGCTCATTTCTCCATATCACTGAACAGACCCCACGGCTGGGTGGACCACTATTTGCCTACCACGTGCGGCAGGACAGCGCGGCTGCCTCCAAGTGCCGGCGATGACGACTAAAGCTGCTGTGAACACTCACATGCAGGTTTCCAGGTGGACCTAAGCTTTCTTTCTTTTTAAAATACATTTTTATTGATGTCAGAGAGGAAGGGAGAGGGAGAGATGAAAACATCGATGATGAGAGAGAACACTGCCTTCTGCAAGCCCCACACTGGGGATCAAGCCCACAACCCGGGCTTGTGCCCTGACCTCCTGGTTCATAGGTCGACGCTCAACCACTGAGCCACGCTGGCCGGGCTGGACTAAGTTTTCAAGGAGTGTGGTTACTGGATCCTGCGGTGAGACTCTGTCTGGTTTTGTAAGAAACCACCAGCCTGCCTTCCAAAGCGCCCCCCTGCCCCCGCCCCCCAGCCGTGAGTGCGATTCCTGCGCTCCGCCCGCCGGCATGCGTTCTCACTGTTTGGATCCGGGCCTGCTGGTGGGTGGGCAGCGCTGGCTCACTGTTGTTGGAGGTACACTCCCACACGACACAGGTGTCTCTTCATAGGCACACGTCCCTGGCTCCTCCTCGTCCCTGGCCTGTGGACTGAGGTCTTTGCCCATTTCGGTCAGTTGTGCACGTCCTCATGGCTGAGTTCTAGGAGGGCCTGGCACGTTGCCGACAAGTCCTGATCAGGCCCTCGTTCCCCAGGGGCTTGTCTGTCGTTTTTACAGGCACCTGGGTGCCCTTGGTGGCTTCCTGTTTAAACAGCACATCTGTGCGGATGGCGAGACCACACAGAGGGTCCCCTTGGCCCTTTCCCCTCAAGGAGTCACCATTGGCATTTCTCTCTCTAACCCGCCTGGGCCTGAGAGTGTGTGTGTGCGAGGGAGGACGAGACGCTTCCATCCAGCTGCACGCGTACTGAGACCCCCCTCAGGTTAGGGGGAGACCCTTCTGCTCCACCTCCCCGTCTGCTATCTGTCCGCGCACCAGCTCGCCACTGTCCACGCTACTGGCCCCTCGTAGGAGCCGCTCTCCTAGACTTCACCCCGCCAGGTCCGGGCTGCTCTCCGCAGGGCCAGAAGGTACACGCTGGGGTCAGTGCAGCGCCCCTTTTCCAGGGACTACTCCCGGCACCCTGTGTCCCAGCGGCCACCCCTCCTTGAGCCGCTCTTCGCGGGGCCCCGGCACTCCTCTCCTGGCCTCTGGTCCTTGCAGCTCCGCTCTGTCCCCCACCATCTTTCACATCCTAAGGTCAGGAGGCCCTGGGCCTCCTCTAGTCTCTGCTCCAGCCCTGGGTTGCGTCCAGTCTCATCACTGAGCTACTGCTGACCGTTGAGGAGGGCACATCAGATTTGAGTCCTGGGGGGTCCTTGAAGGCTGGGGTTCTTCAGTGTGCTGAGGGGGTGCAGTCCCTTGCCCCATGCTCCGGGGTCAAAGTGCATGGAGTGGCACCTCCTGACGAGAGGGCTGGGTCTGCCCTGGAGCCCACGTGCTGCTGGGAGTGGAAACCCCAGGACACCGAGGAGCGTGGCCTAGTGTCCCCAAGGCAGAGAGACGGTGGCCCTGGGCATCGAGGGGCCCTGTCCTGCCATCTCCGCTTGGCTCTGTCCCCTCTTCTCCCAGTTCCAACAGCTGCTGCCCCTCAACAGCCACTGCAGGTCCCCTGGGCGTCATCTCCATGGCACACCCCAAAACTGAGCTGGGCCTTCCTCCCAGGCCCTCCTCCCGCGCGTCCGTCTCAGCCAATGGCAGCCATCGTCTGGCTATCCTGGACAGACCCCTACTGAGTTGTGCACGTCCGTTCCATCGCCCTCCATTTGTCCCGTTGGCGGAAACCCTACTGGCCCTGCCCCCAAAGTGTGCCCCAAAGCTGACCGCTCCACACAGCCTCCTCGCCCGGCCAGCCTCAGCCAGGCCCCCAGCCCCCCAGCCCGCTCCCGCTCCCTCCTGCACCCAGCACAGCGTCCAGTGATACTGCCCAGGCCCCTTCCTCTCAGAGATAAGCCAGGACCCTTTGCGGGCTCCTCTCTGACCTCTACGTGCAGCTTTTCCCCTCTGCCTGTGCTCTGCTCAGCTGACTGCTCACCACCAGCGGGCCCCATCTCCGGCCTCAAGTGTTGACCCATCACCTCCTCAGGCTGCTCACATGAGGCTTCTCCATTGCAACACCCTCCTTCCTGTCGCCCGTGGCCCTGTCCGGCCCCGTCTCCCCGCAAAGCCCTGTCTCCTTCCAGGAGCCCCGTGGTGGCTGGTGCCGGTCTGGAGGGTGACCGCCATGAGGGAGGGAGTCCCCATGTGGGTCCCATGACTTCCCAGCGCCCAGAGCACGTGGTGGGTGCTGGACTAGTAAGTGTGGGAGGGATGGATACCCAGGGTCCAAGGGGAGGTCAAGAGGCATGGCTTCCAACCCCATCTTGTCCCGACTCACCCAGCAGCACCCCCTGGTGTCCCTAGACCCTGGCCTGCACCCACTAGAAACCAGAGACCAAGAGTCATGCCCTGGGTGCCCTGCAGGACCTTCAGGCCCCGCACCTGCCCAGCTGACTTGGGAGCCCTGTCCCCACCAGGCCGGCCAGGCCCCCGGGCCAGTATTGCTGAGCATGTCAGGAGTCAGAGAGGCCCTGGGGCTTTGCTGGGCCCGTGGCCTTTGGCCTGAGGGACGCCTCTTTCTGGGCCTGCTCCACTCTGGGCAGGGCACTAGGGGAGGGCCCTCTGGGACCCTCTGGCCAATCACACCAGGGAGGGACCCCGAGCACCCCTTTGTCCCTCCACCACGTGCCAGGCTGTGCTCTGGGTGCTGAGGGATCCTGGGAACAGCGTGGAGAGAGGGGTGCTCTGTCCTGAAGGGACTGACAGGTGTCGGGGGGAGGGGGCTCCCCAGCCTTTGGGTCACCAGAGGTCCCTTCTCAGCTCTGTCCTAGGGAAAGCCCAGAATCTCAGCCTGGCTGGCAGCAGACCCAGCCAGACACGACCGGCTGCACCCCCCGCCCCCCAAGCTGCATGGCCGCCCACACCCTCCAGTGGCCTTGCGGCCTCCGGGCCAGTGGTCATATCCAAGCACATCCCCCACTTCTTTCCCTTCTGGACATGACCTCTGAGATGTCCTGCCCGAACTCCTTACCTCCTCGAGGTGAAGGCCGGTCCCTCCTCGGGCAGAGAACCCAGTTCCAGACCCCAAATGGGGCAGGAGGGGTGCACAGTGAGGGCCTGTGGGCAGCGGTCACCGTGGCTGCAGCGGAGGGCTCGCTCCCCCAGGCCCTGCGACCTGAGTCCTCATGAGACCTGAGGCCTAGCGAGGCCGTGGGAGGGCGGCAGGGGGTCCCGGAGGAGGGCGGCCCAGGTGGGGGTCCCGGAGGAGGGCGGCTCAGGTGGGGGTCCCGGAGGAGGGCGGCCTGGGGGTCCCGGAGGAGGGCGGCCCAGATGGGGGTCCCGGAGGAGGGCGGCCAGGTGGGGGTCCCGGAGGAGGGCGGCCCAGGTGGGGGTCCCGGAGGAGGGCGGCCCAGGTGGGGGTCCCGGAGGAGGGCGGCTCAGGTCGGGGCCAGGGCCAGGCCTGGCGTTGCTCTGGGAGACGGAAGGTGCGGAGCGGGTGGGGGCGGGTCGTGGACGCTTGCACGGCGAGGCTGAGTGGCTGGGGCTCCCCGCGAGGGTCCCTGGAGATTCCCAGGGCAAAGGGGGTGCGGGGGGGACAGGGCGCCCGCGGAGGGCGCAGGAGCAGGGGGCGCAGCGGGCGGGGGGCCAGGCGCCCTGGGGAAGGGGTGCGGGGGGCCTCATTGCAGCACCGCCCGCGGGCCGGGGGGGAGGAGCCGAGACTTAGGGTCCCGCCCGCTGGAGGCGGCCAGGGCGTCCGGCCGGGACCCTTCGGCTCAGGCCCGTGGCCGTCTGTGCGCCCAGGACACGCACCCCCCCGCCGGTGGGTCCCCGCGATCCGGGAGCGAGGGTCGCGCCCCATGGGGACGGGAGGAGCTCGCTGCAGGCCCGCGGGGTGTCCCGGGAGCCCCGCCTCGCCCCGCCCCGCGCACGCCGCCGGGCCCACGTGACCGCCGGGCGCAAACAAGCCGGTCAGCTGACCCGCGGCTGCGCCGTCATCCCGGCTATAAGCGGCGACCTCGGAGTCCGCCCGGTGCCCGCCGCCCGCTCCGACCCGCCGCCGCCATGCAGCCCCCGCGCCTGCTGCTCCTCCTCGGCCTCCTGGCCGCGCCCGGCGCCGCGCTGATCCGGTGAGGCCCCCGGTCCCGGCCTGCGCGCCCTCCGCTCCCCGCCCCGCGCCCCGGCCTCCCGCAGGCCCCGGGGGTGGGGGAGCCTTTGCAGCTGCGGGGTCGCTCCAGCCCCGCGCCCCCAGCCGGCGGCCGCCCTGCCTCCCTGCCGGCGGGTGGCGGGCGGGTGCGGGACGCCGGGCGGCCCCCTCCCCTGGGCGGCGGGGTGCGCGCCTGTGCCCGGCCCGCGTGTGGACGGCGGGAGACCCCGGGTCGGCTTCCGGGCCCCTGAACCTGGGCGGGTCGTTTTCCCGCCGGGGGCCCCCCGTTGTGGACGGGGCTTGTCTCCCCCGGGGTGGTCACCTGGGATCTCACCACAGGCCACGGGCCGGGAGACCTCGAGGCCGCCCTAGGGGTCCCCCCTGACCAAGACAGGAAGGGTGTTAGCTGAAGGAGGCCCGGGGGGTGGCCTCAGGCCTGGGGACCTGCACCCCGGTGCCAGGCCGAGGGGCCCCT